GAAAACATCATTATTTTGAAGTCTACCCCTTCCTTCCCGAGGAGAACACATTTCTTTCCTAACCCATTGTTTCTGATTTCTACTAGCGCCAGAACCAACAAATTTCTGCTGACTCTCTCCTACCGTGGCTTGGACGGTTTGATCTACTTTATCATTACAACTTTTATGTTGATCCTCTCTTTTCTTTATCTGTCCTGCTCTGAAGGCTTTAGCAGCTGATCTATCGAACACCGCACTGCATCGTGGACATAGTGTCACACCTTCGTCCTTCTCTTTCTTCCTGTTTAGAAATTCAACGAGGGAATCTTCTGATCGAGGATAGATTTCTCTCTCGAATTCTTTCTCGAACTCGCTTAGGTCGAACTCTATGTCTTCTTCTGACATGTCCATTCTGACATGTCTGAGATCAATGTCTTTAGTAACATCGACCATACCTATAAAGGTCGATTTTATCAATCAGACATCTTCAGTCATGCCCATCTGGGATTCGACATACCCTACTTGAACTTCAAATGGACTCGTATCCACTTTCATTGACATCTCCTCAAACTTCAATCTTCCTTGGTCGATCGCATCTTGGATCGTGTTTCTGAAATGTATACAATTATTAGTCCAGTGTCCATAGATATTATGAAATTTGCAATATTTTCGACCATTTCTTTGTTCTGCAGAAGGTTATTTATGATCATCACTCAACTTAATCTGTTTATCTTTCAATAAAATATCAAAGATTTTATCTGTCTTTGTTACATCAAAAGTATATGTGCGATTTGCCATTTTGTCTTTCACTTCATTTTTCTGTAGCAGTTTACAAATATATGGAGCTCCTACTTTGAGCTCTGCTACATTTACTTTCTCATCGATAGATTCTTTAATATCTCCTTTTATCCTGGGATTTTCCTCATATATGTCATTTATATACGCTACCCTATCTTTCTTCATAGGCTTCTCAAATTTCTTGTACCTTTGTTTCTGGTATTCGATTTGTTCCACTCTTCTCACTTTATCAGCTAGCTGAGCCATGTCATTCAATGGTAAATTAACTAATTTTTTCCTAATCGAGAATTCTAAACCTGCATAGGCCATTCTGACTAACTCAAATTCGGGAATTTGAGTAAAACATCTCGACTTCATTTGTCTAAATTTATTCAAATAATCATCTACGCTTTCATGATTATATCTCTTTATATTCATTAAGTCGATAAGACTTACTTGAGTCTCCCCTCTAAAGAATTGCTCATGAAAATTTCTTTCCAGCTGCAACCAATTATATATTGAATTAGGTGGCAGTGACGTAAACCAAGTGAAAGCATTCTTTGTTAATGAACTAGGAAAGTATTTCATTTTTAATTCCTCACTCATCGTTGAGTCCTCACATTCGATTTGATATCGCGCCACATGTTCGATAGTGGATTCACCAATTTCTCCAGCAAATTTGGTGAATTTGGGTATTTTGTATCCTCGAGGTAATTCTGTCTCGAGAATTATATTTGGAAAAGGAGAAACAAAGTACGATTGATTGGGTGGTCTTAATTCCACTCCTTGAAGATTCATTCTTTGTCCTAGCATGTGATTATATTGCATGTTATTTTGATTATACATATTTTGAAATCCTTTATTTAAATTTCCATAAGTATCATTCCTCACATGCTGATATTCATTCCCCACATGCTGATGTTGATCATTATTTCGATTTCTCCTTAATAAATAAAAGGGATTGATATTAGCGTTTTGGTTAATATTCTGATTGGCAGTATTTTCGACCGTTGTTTGTCGAGGTATTGCCAATGCATCCCCGATACGTGTCATTTGGTCTGCTAATATCTCAAAACTAGTGGTAGTGTTTTGAACTAATGGGTTTAGTACTGTGGTCAACTGTTGTGATAACATGTTAACCATCTCGAAATTGCTTTCATCCATTTGTTGTCGAAGTACTCCTAATGAATTACTGGAAATTCCAGTACTAGCGTTTTCGATAGTCTCAAAATTAGATCGATGATAATCTCTATCGAATGTATATCTCCCGTGATCCAGGTTTGCTCCGTGATCTAAGTTTGATATTGGAGACGTCTGTTGTGTTCCTAAATTCTGCGCATTTCCTGAATTCTGGGGTGTTACTAAATTTTGAGACACCCCTAAATTTGGGGATACTCTAAAATTTTGAGGCATACCTAAGGTTTGACATGTTCCTAAGTTTTTGGGCATTCCTAGGTTAAATCTCGTACTTCGTTGTATTGAAGAAGTACCAACCCCGTTCATATTATTAATCGAAAAACCAGACGACCTTACACTCATATGCGGACCTGCATATGTTGTTACGGGGTTCCCCGTAATTTGTATATTGTTTGACATTACAGTACTCGACCCTAACTGAGTGTTTACTACTGTGCCTGAGCTTTGTTCAGTACTCACAGGTATCGACATACTCACAGTTGTTGATATTACAGGCATATTCCCATTGTGAAATTGCCCCCCAGTGTTTGGTGAATGTGAACTATTTAGAATCTTACTATTATTCTGATTATGTGGTGGATTTTGACTCATTCTTATTACTCGCCCACTCCTTAATCTCATACACTTTTGAACTAGCCAATTGTTTGTGTTTTTCGACACAACTGCCCCCCTACCTGGAGCGCCAATTTGTTTCTAGTGAAAATTTGATTGATTTCGATTTCTCGGAGACTTAGGTTCTAATCAAATTTCAACCACCTAGATTCTTTTTACTTAGGCTAGCAAACAGTTTTCAATCAAAACATGTATGAGAATCGAAAATACCGTAGTGTCGAGAAATGCAATATATCATACAGATTGACAATCGAAAGTACTTTTCTTGATATTTTTTATTAAGAAACGTAAAATAAAGGAAGCAGTAAAACATATCGAAAATGAAAGACAGTACAAAATATTACATTACAGAGAAATGTAAATGCAAAAACCTTGAAATTGAGAAATGTAAATGGCGGGAATCGAAAATTCGTGAAAGTAATATAGCAAGGAATCGAGATTGCAGTAATGTAAATAACAGGAAATTGAAATTGCAGAAGTGTAAATGGCAAAGAACTTAAACGCAGAATCTTAACTTGCATAAAGAAAAAAATGACAAGGAATTGAAAAGACAGAAACTGAAAGTTGATAAACGTAAATTGCACGAAAGTAAATTACCAGGGAAAGTAAAGAAAGCGATAAAAGCAATCAATGAAAATGGAAATCCAGATCGCCAGAAACTTCATGATTCGTCATTTCTCCAGTAGACTTTTCACTTGTGTTTCCGCTGTCTCTGCCAATTTCCCTCTCTTCTTCAAGCTTCATTCTATTTATAGGCATCATTCAATATAACTTCCCAATAGCAGTTAAAAAACTTGTCACCACGTTCTATGTGCACGTTCCTCGATTTTTTACCTTAGTTTACGGTTTATAAAACTGTTTCCACGTTCCATGTGCATTTTAACCGTTTCCCTCGATCTCGATTCCAATTATCGAGTACTATTTCCCTTGACCTTGACTTTTACACTATACTTTATCACTGCTTTCATCGATTTATTTCTCTTTTTTCTGATTCTCGATTTTCATTCTCGATTTATATGTTTATACTATCTCGTGGTCACCGGGTGTCTTTCAACCATTTTTCCCCTCGATTTTCTCTCTTCGTTTTTTTGATCCTATAAATCGATTTATCACTAATAGTTATATAATTTTTAAATAACTTTTTTAAGTTTTGTTATAATTGTAAAAATTTTCGAAACTAACATTTTCTTATTATTTATATTTTAATTTTTATAATTTAATACAAGATCTACACCTTTATGTATTATAAAGATATATTATCAATATTGAACTCTTCTTTTATTTTGAGGCTCCAAATTCTTATTCAGGATTCATTTCTGAATTTTAACGTAGTGATTATACTAAAATAGCAGATTTTAAATAAAATATTATAAGATTTGGATTTCAAATTTAATATATACTAAAAAGTACAGTTCCGAGATTCGTCATATGTAAGAAAAAAAAATCTTAGGATGATTAAAACAATTAAGTTGTCGGCGTCACAATTACTACCCAATTCCAAAAGTACAGGTCTAAATAACTTTACTTCAAAATATTTTTTTATTAAAAGTCTTAACATCTAAGTATTATTTTTTCGACACGAAAGAAGAAAAAATATTCTTGAAATTATTGAAACTTAATTTAAAGATACACTGATAAATGTAACCGTATTTGAAATTCGTAAAGATAGACATTGAACAAACCGAAAACATATTAGACATATTTATATACACATTTTTATTTTTACATAATTTAAGAAAAGAAAAAGTAGAGTACTTGTAGTTTTGAGAGTTTAGTCGAGAATTCAAGTATTTGAAGTATACGTTCTATAAAAAAAATAAGTAATTTAAAAATAAAAAATATCTCTTATTTTATATTTGAAAATTTTAGATTAAGAACAATATTTTATAAGATTGATTAATGTTTTATGGAGATTTCTCCATTCAATTTTAATTTATCGATTTATTAGTAAACAAACTCGTATTTTATCTTTATGATTTTTTCTTAATAAAAAATAATTTGAAAGACTACTAAAATGATTAGTTAAAAAAATAGAAATTTAAAATTTAAAATCTAATTTAAATTTTAGATTTGAATTAAATATGATAGAAATTCTCACATAAACAAAATTATATAAGTATTTTCACCCTAATACTTAACTTTCTCATTTTTTCAAACACTCTACACTGAAGCATTTTATTTTGCTTAATTTAAAAGTCTTAACTGTCACCAAATATCCTTAATATGAATTGTGGGAAGCAGAAAAGAAGAAAGTCAAGAAAAATTAAAGACAGCATTACATGGAGGTCCCAGAATTGGAGAAGCCATGGCAAGCCACATATGAAAACGCCAACTAATTCATTAATTGAAAGCCCTACGGAAACCAAAAACAGCAAACAAAACCACAACTTTCACTGCTACACTCGCTTCATTCGTTACACCCTTCAACCTCATGTTTAAATGCTCGCAAAAACAGGTGAAATTGCAGCCAGAACTGTGGTCATCATCATCATCATCATAATACTAGGTCTAGCCATACTTCCATACGAAGCGTTTTGGCTTTGTGGGGTCGTACTCTGTGCGCTTGGTGTTACAGGAGTTACCTTGGAAGAATTTGTGAAGATTGCAGCATCAGGGGAACTTGGAGATAGACCCAGAAGCTCTTTGGACATCAAAATCAATCATATTATTAGAATTGTAAATTCATCGTTCTTAAAAGGAATTCAGGTAGTATTTAAGAAAAATATACACAAAATATAGCACTTTTATATAAAGGTTCCCTTGGGTCAGACTCTTGTTAACATACGCAATCTTATTGAAAATAATGGTAATGCCCTCTTAACCAATCTAGATGAGAAGTCTGCACTTAATTTTGTCCTTCTACCAAATCTAGATTATGGGTCGCGTCATTCTCATTGCATATCAAATTCTCAGAGTTTGCTACTTAGATGAAAAAGTTTACAAGAGGAAAAAAATGGAAGAGAACCACAACTATCGTGTTTTTAGACAAAAACCGATATCTACAATAACATTTTGCACTGTTAATAAAATAATAATAATTAAAATCAATAAATTATTACCGTTTGTCATAAAAAAATAAAAAATAGTAGGTGAATCTTAAGAGTATAATTACAAATTATCTTTTTAGTAATTGACATTTCAATAGGAAACAAAAAAGGTTAAAAACTACACTTCATAAATGAATAGTAGTTTATCAGTATCGACGGGGCTTCCAAGGTTTTATAATAAAGGACAAATTTTACACCAAAATTAGAACTTAGTCTTAATAGCTATCTCATTAAAGAAAAAAAAGGTCCACACCTATTAATAAAACTGTAATTTTAATTCAGATACCATCCAGAACCACCTAAACGACAAGTTAGAACTTCCCTTTGACAAATCTTGATTGAAGAGTGAAGAGTTTTTAATGAAATTAGAATGATTAATAGAAAAAGTAATTAAAAAATAAAATTATTTGATTCAATAAAAAACGTATTGATTCGATTAAAAAACGAGACTATTTTTTAATGCAATAATAATAATTGAAATAATAATAATAATGTATTTTCTCCTCCTCATCATACTTATTACTATTATTTATTATTATTATCTATATAAATTTTATAGCTTTCTCTTTATTTTACAACCTATTTTTTTAATAATTTATCTTTTATGAAAACTTTCGGCACAAATTATCTCATATCAAACTCAATATAAACAATCCACTTAAATAATCTTAAATCATTCCTCAATAATAATAATAATAATAAATCCTTAAACCAAACACACCCTAAAGGAAACTTTTCTCACCAAAATTAGAACCTTAACATCGAAGGTAGCCACTAAAATTATGATTATTTTTAGAGTACTAACAAATTAAAACATAGTCAAATTTTGTCTTTTACAAAATGTGATTGGGGAAAATAATCAACCGGGCTTTCTATTTTATTTTTGAAGTGAAACAGTAAAAAAAATAAAATAAAATAGACATAGAAAGACAGAGTTGCAGAGGTTAAAAAGATGAAGGTTGTATGGAAAAGATGATAAGGTGAGATTGAAAAGTGATTATGGAAAGGTGGAGTGAATACGTACTGGGACAGTCGCTGATGCTGGCGTTTTTGACTTGACAAACGGAAGGGAGTTGGAGCAACTTGGACTCTTGAATGCCGAGGCTTTTGATCTCTGGGCTACCCTTGTGGGTCTGTTGAATGACGTAACACAAGCACTCCGGGTTGGTCTCCTTTATGCTCTCCGTTGCGTCGCAGCATTCCTCTTTCGGCTTCGCTTCCTTCCCCGACACGAAACCCAGACACGGAAGAACCTTCTGCATCACCTGTCCGCACTTGTTCGCCAAATCATCGGCGCCATCCGCCCCCTTCAGCCACCCACAGGACGCCATCACCACCATCAGGCCCAGGCCCAGGCCCACCCTCCACATCTCCCCTCTACCTTCCTGCTTCATCTCCTCACAATGTGTTTGTGTTATGTGCTTGTATTGTGTGTGGGAAATGGCACGGCTTGTCTTCTCTATTTAATGTACACAGGTGAGGTTGGACGGTTGCTTAACGGCGTTAATTTGTTTTGAGGAGATGTTTTGATGGCATGGGAAGGAACATGGGAAATACAGTAGCAACTAATAAATGAGGGAAACGGGTAGTAGTTGGAATGAATTTAAGAGGTCACAGCTTGAGATTATGACTTGGGACTTTGTGGGAAGACAGGTACTATAAAGAGCGTTGTTCCTCAACCACTACGTGTCGTTTCCACCTCGTAATTTAATTATCCACGTGGCATCACTGTGTCTTGTTGGGGGGTTGAACTTCACCTTCTTCCTTTTAAGTTTTCAACAAATAAAATCACCAATTCAGCCACAGGCTTTGGCTTCTTGCTGAGATCAATTTTTTTGCAGAACCCACGCCGAATTCCTCCAAACTGAAACGCATTTATGAAACGATGTGGATTACTGTTTTTCAAAAACATTACATGAATACCGTGTCGTTACATGAGTCTCGTCACCGAAGGTAAAGTTACGTATCTCCCATTTTTCTTCACTTATCGAGACGATAGAATTTTGCTAACGAAAATTTTATAAACAATATTTTAAACATAAAAATTTATGTTACCAATGTTATTACTATATTCTCGTTTTTATATGTCTTTTACTTATATTTTGCTTAAAATATAATAAATCTTTTACTTATATTTTGCTTAAAATATAATAAATAAACATCTTTATATATATATATATATTTTAGATTTATGATAAATAATTTTAATAACAAGATCAAATTTGTTTGATTATCGATGATTTACTGGAAAAAATATTGAAAACCAATTTAGATATGATAAAAAAAATATGGTGGATTGAAATATGAAGATAGTATATAACAAGGAAAAGAAAAGTGTGTTTGGTAAGAGAGTATAGTAACTTCATAATTACAATTCCGTCACTCTTAAAAATAGTGGTAACATATTTAATGTACAAGTGTTTATCAATATGTGTAGATGGGGTTATGATTGCAATTGTTTTTGGTTTATAGGCGCGACTCATAGTGTTAGGTGAAATATATGTTGGGCACTTCTTTTTGCTTTGGGTATTTGGATCTTATCTAGTCCTGTACCCACTTCAACAATATATTAATAAATTATTTATGGGATTGGAGTTTCAAACATTTCTCTGCACAATGTTATTGTTAAGAAAACCACACTTACACAGTAAATAAAAATATTAAATTATCTTCAAATAAATCCTTCATATAATGTATATTTATTTTAATTTCTTTAAACCGCGTATGTTAAGAAAATATGATATAACACGTTACTATTTTATAATATATATATATATATATATATATATATATATATATAACTATTAAAATAATTGAACCGGTTTAGTCGGTTTTATTTTAAAATAAATTAATTTTTAGTTTAATTTTATTTTATTTTAAATTAATAACTTAACGGATAAATTTGACTTATGGGAAATTAAAAAATATTAATATATTTATATCAAAATAATTAATTAAAAACTTAAATAAAATAAAATATTTTAAAATTTATATTATATTAATAAATTTTGTTATTAATTCTTTAATAATTCAATATATATATATATATATATATATATATATATATATATTAAGAGAAATGATTGATTCATCTCACGAGAATTTAATTTTTATTTTTACTTATTATTATCATTAATATTTTAGTAATTTATAATTTTAAAATAATAATTAATTTTAATCATTAAATTTTTTAATAAGTAATTATTAAAAATTTATTCTCATATCTATTATTGAAATAAATATATTTTTATTAAATTAATTTATAATATATATATATATATATATATATATATTATTAAAATTATATTATTTTTATTTAAAAATTAATTATTATATTATAAATTCACAAACTAGTTAAACTTAAACTCGTATAAATCATATTTAAAAAGACTAAACCAAAATAAACATAATTTAATTTAAGATATATGATTAATTTAACTTGTTTTTCGTATTTATGTCAAGTTTTTCTCTATTTATCTTTACCTCGTATATATATATTTTACTATTTTATCATAAATGGAAGTCGATTTACCATTACCTCATATATTTTAATATTTTACTATTTAATCATAACTGGAAGAGAGTTATTAGTAGAATCTATATTGTCAAATTCAACACCATTTTAATAAAAGGAAATATATTACATTTATTAACTTGTGTGTTACTTTAAGATATGTTTTTATTTATTAACTTGTGTTATCTGTTAAGGTAAATATATTTTTATTGCCGTACTCTTGAAGTAGATAAATTAGAAAAACATAATATCTTTTTTACCACACTTTTAAAGAAACTGGAATTTATTGAAATTTGTAAAATGATCAACTAACTTATTAAAATTATCAATCAGTTTTGGACAATTTTTCATTTCATATTATATTTCATATTCATTAAGGAAAATATGCATCGAATAAACGAGTATTGATGCGTTTTTTTTACGAAACAAATAATGTTATTTCTATGATAAACTTGTATAGACTTGTTTAAAAGGGAAATATGAATTAAGCGACGTGAAGATGAAGGTAAAAGCATAAAAGTGATTATAAAAATACGATACTAATATATGTAAGAACAAGATTTCTGAATAGATTTGTACGAATTCAACTCTTACTGCCATGTGTCAATTGTCTTCTCACACTCCTACTCCACAAATGTGTTGAAATCGTATCATTCAAAAAAGGGGAAAAATAAAATCTTTATATATTCCAATTTGCTTTTGTCACCTTCTTGCCTTATATTGGTTGTGCTGCCAATTCTCATCATTTGACAAAATCAAACAACCTTTTCCTTAAAACACAAAGCAAAACTCCATCTTAGCACTCCTTCATGCTACATCTTCCATAGCACAACAACAAAAACCAACACACACTCTCATAATTAACACCAAATCTTATTATCATATACATGCAACACAAAGGGGAAGGAATCAAAAGGGTTAAAAAATGAGGAACCGTAATCCGTTACTGGAGAGACGGTGGTTTGTGGGCCTGGCGGCGGTGGGCCTGATCGTCACGGGGCTTTTCCTCACAAGCTCGATCCGATCCCCGGAAACCTCGTATCTGTGTCCGGCCGCGCTCGGGATCCGAACCCGAACCGAATTCAGTTACGAACCGGCACCGATGCAGATGCGCGCGATTCTCCATTACGCGACGTCGCGCGTGGTGCCGCAACAATCGGTGGCGGAGATCAAGATCAGTCTGGACGTGATAAAGTCACTGGGCCGGCCCTGCAACTTCCTGGTGTTCGGGCTGGGCCACGACTCCCTCATGTGGGCGTCGTTCAACCCGGGAGGCAGGACGGTGTTCCTGGAGGAGGACCCTAAGTGGGTCCACTCGATCTTGAAAGACGCGCCGGGCCTGAAGGCCCACACGGTCCGTTACCGCACGCAGCTTCGCGAAGCCAAAACGCTGCTCACCTCGTACCGCTCCGAAGCCGCGTGTTCTCCTGCGAGAGCGTACCTGCGAGGCAACGAAGCGTGCAAGCTGGCGCTGGAGAATCTCCCCGACGAGGTTTACGAGACGGAGTGGGACATGATCATGATCGACGCGCCCAAGGGGTACTACGCGGAGGCGCCGGGGAGGATGTCGGCGGTGTTCTCAGCCGCGGTGATGGCACGCAACCGGAAGCAACTCGGTGTGACGCACGTGTTCTTGCATGACGTGGATCGCAAGGTGGAGAAGGTGTACGCTGAAGAGTTTCTGTGTAAGAAGAACTTTGTGAACGGTGCTGGAAGGCTTTGGCACTTCAAGATACCTCCTTCTAACGACACACTTGCTTCGCATTTCTGCTAGAATATTTTTTTTCTCCTTCCTACCATAATTCTTCATCATTTTTTGTTTCTTTTTTCTACTGTTAGAGTATGATTCAACATCATTTGCGTGCCACACACATGAAATGAACAGTATAATAGTATCTTTTTACTCTTTCTTTGATTTCCATGTTATGCTTTGTTATTCCAAATCCAGACAAAAGGAATCCCTGGCTTATAGAAGTGTTTTGCCATGTCCACGCTGCTGACAGGGGTGGGTAGATTAAATGCTATTTATTAATTTGGCCTCTTCCATAGATTTATGATAAGTTAAGTTTCAGATTTTAATACGTAACTTGTCTTAGTTGTCTCGTGTATAGTTGACTTTTATAATTAATTTGAGAATCTTTTTATTTTATTTTATGCATTTGAGAAGCGGTTAGTATTAGAGATTGTTTTTAGAAAGACTTTTCTAAAAATCTGAATTTTTTATTTTTGATACCGATATTTAAGAAATTATTTCTTAATTTTTCTGGAAACATTACGTCGGAGAGGATAACAATCCAAGATTTTCATAAAAAGAAATATTTTTTTATATACGCCTTTCATTCTTTTCAAATTCTTAATCGTACCAAGCATATTTATAACATTTCTAAAAAAGATGATTCCAGTAGATGAAAAGGAATTTATATACCCAATGCTTCTTCAACGTTTTTTGAAAGATTATTTGTGTTTAACCATAATGTATAATTGTTTTATTGTATAAGTAGATGAAAAAGGAATTTATATACCTACCGCTTCTTAAATGTCTTTTTGTAATATGATTTCTGTTTGGTTGATAATGTAAAAATATTTTATTGTGCAAGTTTTGAATAGTTTATTGTTAATAAAGTGATTCGTTTTATTTTTGAAAAAAAAATCATTATAAATAACACTTTCAATACAATGTGTATATTCTTTCGGTAAAGATAAATTTTAGGAATTATAAAATTTTTTTAATAAATTTATGATAAGAAAAATGTCAAAGATATCAATGATTTCATTCTTGACTACGTTTTTAAAATTTTCTCTATGATTTTTTCTATGTAATTATCTGGAATTATTTTTTATTAAAATTAAAAAAACCTTTAGAATTAAAAAAAAAAACATTAAAAATGAGCACACATTATTGAGTCGAAACTCCTTTGCAGATGAAATCGTATTTCATTTAAGGAACAATAACTCAAAGTAAATGAAACAAAAGGATGAAATGTGGAAGAGAAGCAACACATGAAAGAGAAATGGAAAAAAAAAAAAAAAAAAAAAACAAAAATGCTGGTTAAAGACGCCAATCGTGGCAGAAGAAAAGGTACGCTATTATAATTGAAAGTTGGGACACGCCCCTCAGATGTTACTCCCATCCCCTTATTTACATTCGGCAATGAATTTCATTTCGTGTCAAAAGCAGAAAAGATTGCTTAACCAAAAGAGAAATCAGATAACATCAATATTTTTTCTTCAAAATATAGATCATATCATATTGAGACATGGGGAGATGCATATTTCTTTCTATATATCTCACCAGAGCACGTATCACTGTCCTTTTCCAATTATTTCGTACAATCAATACGCGTAGAAAGTTAAACTAAACTTAGCTACAGTGAAGGCACTAGCTAGAATATTGTATATAATATTATAACTGTGGGTAATAAATCATACTAATTACATTACATCTTCATAAGATACAGTAGAGATCTAATTTGCATCTGATTGCAAGCAATGATATCATGGATTAATCAAAGAACAAAATCAGTCTAACCACTTCAAGGCAGACGTGTAAATTCATCCCCTGGAAACACTGCATTCTATACAAAATCTAACACTACAAAAAATATTTCATCCTGTCATCCCTCCTCATGGCATTATATACAGCTTGGACCTGAAAAATACAACAAATCTACGTATCAAGGTATATTCACCAAGAATCATTTGCAGGGAGACACATAGTAGTATATAACAATGGGGGGTTTCATGTTCTTTTCTTCCGAATAAATCCATCTCTAGCCAAAAAAATAAATAAATAGAATTCTATAAAAGTTTACTTCAACATGAGGAAAAGAGACAAGTAAACAAGAGAGAAAGACCTGTTCACTAGAAACAACTTGGACAGGCCCAATGTTTACGGATACATATTTGCCTCTAGCTGATAACTTCTGCTTCACACGTCCCTGTAACAGAGATGTTAACGTTCTTGAAATATGAACATCAGCCACCAAATAAAAGTGTAGATTTATTATATTAAAATCTTCCTGTATCAATCTCTTGAAAATCTTCCTGTATGCAAGGTAAAACATTTATACAATCAAATTGATTGTCACTGACCAGGGCACAATTATCAATTTTAATTATTAAATGCTTCTAAAGTCACATGAGCATTGCTCTAGAAAGTATTTTGCACAAAGAAGGTAAAAAAGCATTTACTCATTGGTCTTCCTATTCTAAATTCCCAAACATCTTGAGTAAAGAAAAAGGAAACTCAAATACAATTAAAGACTAGTAAAGTTTGCTTATTTTTGGGAGAGCAGGTCTTCAACTTCTATCCAAATATTAAAGAATAAAGGCAATTTATATATCCAGCACAAGATAACAAGCAAAGCCATCTAACAATTGGCTGATGATTAACTTCTAGATTTATGCTGTAGATCAAAGAAACGTAGATTGTGAATGAGAGTGGGCACTTACACATGTAAGAGAGAGGAGCAAGATATTTTTCAGAACTATTAAGATAGATGAAGATTATTTAGTTTGTGCACTACCTAATTGTGTCAATAGGAACTTATACATGTAAGAGGGAGGATTTAGATACTTTTCTGGACTACAACGTAGATGGTGATTATTACAATTGTGCCCTATCTTTTGGAGCAAATCTCTCCAATGTTTCTTCTTAGATTACCAACAAGTGGGACCAGAGCAAGTTATTTACCTTGGTGACTAGCTTAGACGAATAAGTTTCCGAATTTCTTGTATTAAAAATGTTATTGGTGGTGAGAATGTGGAGGTTAGGTGACATATCCCAATGATGTGAGCTAAGTTCTAGAGCAAATTGGCGGTTATGGCTAAGCTTTCAGGGCCATCATAGAATACTCATGAATGGAAAAAGCTTATGCTTGAGGGGAGCATACAATGTGAAAGGATTCATACTTGAAGAGGAAATTGTTGGAGTGCAAGTGTGAATGTGAAGTTTAACATAGGGTGAGAATATGTAAGTTGAGTAACATACAAGTGAAAAACATTTAGATACCTAATGTCTAAAGGTTTTGTGTTAACTTCACAATGTGGTTGATTCGTAACTTATGGAGCACATGCTTAAAATCAGTATTTTCCTTTCCTTTGAGCAACTTCCACAAGAAAGTTTGGGGCAACAAACCTCATATTGGAAACTTTGGCAGCAGCAGCATACTTGAAAGATTTTAGGGGCAGTAAAACTCATATTGGAAGCTTTGAGCACATCCTTGAAAGATTTTACAGGCAATACACCTCATATAAGAAACTCTAAACATGCTTAAAATTGTTTTTTCCTTCCCCATCAAGCAACATCCAGAAGAGAATTTAGGGGGAAACACACCTTATAGAGGATAGTCTGAGCGCATGCTTCAATGCTCTTTTTTTTTTTTTTTTTTTTTTACTGTGTGAAACCCTCTGATCACAGTCCTTTACAATGCAGTGTCAAGATTTGTCCCTTTATCCTTTTCAATGCCTATTTTATATCTCTATATTGGATGTATTTCAATTCTCAAGCTTCTTAGTACTTACCTCAATCATAAAATGTAAAAATGATTTATTTAGCAGGTGAACATAGTTTAGTTTTGTTATGACTATTGGTGACAGCTTTGTACGTAAGCTTAGAACCCAGAACTAAGCAGTAGATAAATTATAGATATTCACATATGATCTTATAACCACCACAGCAGCAATACTATGGAAGTAAAAGTTGCAACCGCAATGATCTTCCAAAGTTCGTTGTAAAGATATTGATTGTTTTCCCAGAATGCGGTACTGTATCAGCTAGTGAACCATAGTCTATACGTCAATCACAGTCCTAAGAGGGATCATGACAATAAGAAAACAAAAATAAGTTGACTAGGGAAGGTAGTTCAGGTATAGATATCTAATACAATATCATTTGGATCATAGTTCATACTACGTAAGTTCACTAGGAAAGGTAGTTCAAGTATATAATACAATGTCATTTGGATCATAGTTCATACTAATATATAAGTTGGTGCATCAATTTTACATGAATAAGTCCAATTCCCAAAGTCCAATTCAAGGCTCTTAAACATGTTGAGGTATGAATAGACACCTGAGGAATAGGCTGTTGGATTACGGATTCCACGGCAACAACCATGGCTTGCACAAAATCCTCACCTCCCGTTCCAATTGCAGTGAAACCTCGAACAGTTGGGTATGAATTCACCTGTGCAGCACACATCATAACACATAAGCATTGCAATACCAAGGCACAACAAAAATCAAAAGTACCACAAGGTGCAAACTTACACATGAAATGCAAACAAAATAAACAGTTAAAAGCAAACATTGGGCACAGAGAATAATGAATGAACGAATTCATGAAAGTACCTTCTGGTCCAAAGTGAGCCATTCATTGGTAGAGTCATCCGACACAGTGCCTCCAATAACCATATTGGTAGTTTGCCCAACCCTCCCTTCCGCCTTAGACACCTCTGTTGTAATGCAACCAATTAAATCAACCATTTTCAATTTCAGTTTCTCCCAATCAAAATTAAGCATACATTAAATTAAACAGTTCACAGGTTAGAATCAGTTACCGGAAATGGCCTTCAACACCGCCTCTTGAGGCGGACCTTGATCGTCCTGAAACGACGGCGTCTCGTTGTGAGAGCAACGGAGGGTTACTGCTTTGCCACGGCGAAACGGACCAGCCCTAACGCCTCTGTTATAATTCAAATGAAGATTTTGGAATTGAAACGGTTCCACGAGAATCGATGAACGAAGCATGCTCCTGCACGCCATTTTTGTGTGTGTAGTTTCTGCAACATACGATAAATTCGTAGTAATTGATATAAGCATCTCCATCACCCTCGGAAAACACAGATTTTTTTCGATAAGGACCAATGTGAATTCTCACTAATGCCCCTGTCAAAAGCGTTCAATCCAGGATCTTATTGTCTTTTTCATAATTTTAACAATTTTCTTTGGCTTAAAAAAAAAATTCAAAAACCCTAACCGATCCTCTTTCGAGTTTTCCCTCTTCCGATGTACGGATCCGAGAAAAACCGCGATGATTCGGAGCGAACCGCTTTCAGAAGAGCGGAGAAGAAGTACAAACTCTACTACGACCACAATGCTTCTTCCAAGAGCAAAAAGTATTCAACTATTTTGTTTCCTTTGATCGTAGTTTGTTTCAGTTTAATTTCTCAAATTCTAATTGCAATTCATTTTTTTTTTCAACAGGAAAAAACAACCTAAACCCGTGGATTTAACGGAGGTTCTTGATTTCAGATCCATTCTAGAATGCTATCTTCGGAACGGTGCGCTTCCTCCGGGTGTTATCGTTCTTCACGAGAACTTCACCTCTCCAGTTTTCTCTTTGCAAAATCGCCCCGGTATTTTCTTTTTCTTTTATCGTTATTTGCCGTTTAACTAACTCTAGAAAGTGATTTACTGGTGCATAACTAGCTAGCTCATGTATGAGTAACTAATGAACTCAACAACAATATGTGATGATTAATTTGCAGGCTTTTATTTTATTCCTGGGGCATTAACCATAGACAAACAATGTAGTTTCATAAAGGAGAGTTTGACTAATTTTCCGCAGCCACCTAATAGAACAAATCACAATGCCATGTATGGTCCAATCCAGGGCGTGTTTGGTGCTGCTAAGGAAGGGAAAGTTTTGGTTGAAGACAACTCTCCATTTGCTTCATCTGAAACTGGTGCTGATATAGATCATGGAGATGGTAAGGAATGGAAGTTTACTACCGAAAAGGAAGCATCATTGAGAAAGTGCAAATCCGTTTCTGCTTCTTCGTTGCTTCGGAAGTTGCGATGGAGCACCCTTGGCCTGCAGTTTGATTGGTCCAAGGTATGTTTTGATTCACCACTTTAAGTATTTTTCAGTAGTTATGCTTCTCTCCAAAATAGTTGAAATTTAGTTGTAGGTTTATTGTGTTTATTAAAGTATTTCAGTAGAGATTTTTTTGCTTTGGAGACCTTGAAGCTGGTTATTGTTGCTTGCACATGATCTACTGCTTCGCATAAATATGTTTTTAGCTTGAGAGGAACTATTTTTGTAGTTGTGTGAATGAGACATTGGGCAATCGCTTTAATAACTAGTCCACATGTTCCACACCCTGCCTGAATGTCAGTGGAGGACTTGATTCATCTTAATGGATAAGTTTCTGTGATTAAAAATTGTTGTTATAAGGTTGCTTAACATGTATCTAAACTTTGCTAGCCGGCAGAGATTCTTTCTGCCCTGTTCTGAAGATGTCAATCTAAGCTTTTTTTGCTAAAGTTACTATGGTAGCATCAGTGAATCTTTATTGGGAGTTAAAATTTAGTTTCAGTTTCCTAAAAAAGTCATACCTACTGAATATTCACTGAAATCACTTAATTATTATGTTTGTGTGCAGCGGAATTACGATGTGTCTCTCCCACATAACAAAATCCCAGAAGCACTGTGTGATCTTGCCAAACAATTGGCCAAGTCTGCTTTACCTGCGGGTGTTGAATTCAGGCCTGAAGCTGCAATAGTGAATTACTTTGGTTTAGGTACGGTTAAAGCAGATATTTATTATGAATTCAGCAGTGTGATAGTTCCATGTGTGATGTGTCCTTTTTATACTTCCTTTTAGTTTACACTGATGCTATGGCAATTGTCAGCAAAAAAATTTCTTCATACCATTGGTAAGCAAGAAATTGTCTTTTTCTTGCATCAACAAACGTTTTCGAGTTGTTAAGAAAAAAATAACAACTTTTTAGAAACAGTCTGCTTCATATTGTTTCCTATTTACCTTCTCTTGTTATTTTTTATATCATTCCAGGGGACACATTGGGTGGTCACCTTGATGACATGGAAGCAGATTGGAGCAAGCCTATAGTTAGTTTAAGGTATGATTCTAATTTCAATTGAATATGTTGTTTCTTAGTTTTTAGATACCAAGAGGTGAAAAGAAATATTGAACTTGTATTTGGATCCTAATTCGTGTCTTGTCCCCCTTGTCTCAGTCTGGGCTGCAAGGCTATATTTCTTCTGGGAGGAAAATCTAGAGAGGATACTCCCCTGGCAATGTTCCTTCGAAGCGGTGATGTTGTTCTTATGGCTGGAGATGCAAGGGAGTGCTTTCATGGTAATCATCACCTACGAACTCAGTTTGTGAATTATTAATGGTGTGCTTGAATTGACATTGATTCCATTCAACGGCGATCCTTTGTGAAAGACTCATCCATGTTGAATGTGCATCAAATGTGTATTTAAAGTACAGGAAACTCGTACGAAATCAAAGTAGTTCACATGATCATTTGAAGTTTTAAAGTTTTAGTGATTGGTTTCAATTGGATAAAGATTATTATCATTCGGAATAAACATGTTTAACTTACAATTGAGTTACCATGCTGACTCGTGCAGTTTCAAAATTCTGTCTAACTACTGGAAATTGGTTTTATCAATGTTGCAGGGGTTCCTCGGATCTTCACAGATAAAGAAAATGCTGAAATAGGCCATCTCGAGACACAGCTGACGCAAGAAGATGATCTTTGTTTCTTAAAATACATCCAAACTTCTAGAATCAACATTAATATCAGACAAGTTTTTTGAGTAGTCTTTTAATTTCTTTGGAAGTGAATATTTGGTTCATTAGGTCATGAAACAAAATATGATTTATTAGTTATATTTAAAGAGCTTATTGCTGCTTCGTTTCATTTTTATACGACCAGTGAGTCTCAACCATCAAACCTCGCTTTGCAAGTTCCTTTCCATTTAAGTTACTTATTTGCTCATGAGTATAGGGACTTGGGTTGTAAGGTAACACTTGATAATAAATACTAACTTTTTAGCCTGTTTCTTAGCTTCAGCCTGGTCTATTTGGATGAGCATTCTATTTTTTTTATTCAACACAAAAGTTATCTGACGTTGTTTTACTTTATTCTGATTCACAATCAAATTTTAACGTAAAATTAATATGCGAACATTTATTAAAATTATGGCGTTTAATATGTTAATATGATTTTGAAGAATTCAACATAAAATGAAACATCCAAGTATGGCAATATGACAATTAAATTTATTCTGAGTTTGGAATAGGAAAAACTTCAAATTTTTTTCACTTTTAAAAGTTAGGAGATGGAGATAGGAAAATTTTCAAAATTTTTTCACTTTTAAAAGTTAGTAGATGGAGATGTGAAATTTAATCTACCTCTCAATTTCATTTTCATTTCATCTTTATTTTAAATTTAAATCCTAAATTTTCATATTTTTAAAATATTTTTTTTCTTATATTATATATAATATCTTTTTTTATATTCTACAAATTTTATTTCTCTTCCCTTCTATTTTTATTTTTTTAAATCTTTTAAATTAATCATTTTATTATATATATATATATATATATATTTATATATATATATATATATATATATATATATATATTAATTAGCTTCTTCACGTGTTTTTAATCTCTTTAATTAATTTATCAAATTTTGTCAATGAATTTAAAAACATAAAGTTATTTTTTTTATTAATTTTTTTAAATATTTTACATTTATAGTAACTAATATTATTTTATTTCTAATTTATTTTTATTAAGTTTTATTATATTATATTTTTTAGATTTTATTATTTTTATTTATTATATATCAATTTTTTTAATAAAATAATTATATTTTAAAATATTTAAAAAATTGATTATTAAATCTTTTATTATTTTGAACTAACTAAATAAGAATTAATTTATTCAATATTTTTTTATATATTATATATTTCATATTTATAAATATTTTAAAATAACAATTTAAAAAATAATTAACTTATATATGTAATTAAATATTTAAATATAATATTATTATTATTATAATAAGAACTTAAAAAATAATTAATTTATATATATATAATTAAATGTTTAAATATAATATTATAATATATATATATAATAATAATAATAATATAAGTATTTTATATCATAAAAAAGAAAAGGATTAAACATTTTTTCCATAAAAATATTAATATAAATATAATAAATTAAAAAAATATAATAATAATTATAAATTATAAATACTTTTATAAAAATATTAAAATTAATTTATTATAAATATAATTATTTTTTAAAAATAATATAAAACTCAAATTAAAAAACCTAAAATCCAACGGAATAAAAATAACAACTTAATTTATAACTTTAATGAAAATCGGAAGCGATACATACGATTAAAAAAAGTTGGACCGGAAATTGGGTACGCAAAACCCGCCTCATCTGAAGTAAAATACATTTCATATTGCTTCTTAAGAACCTTTATGTTTTGTATCCACGTTTTCTGGTAAAAACATATTTTAAATAGGTTCGCAAGCAACTTTAAGTTTTTTATCCACGTTTGCTTTGCGTTGGCTACGCCGAAATGTAGGTTGGGTTCGCATTTGTGAATTGTAATGTACCAAATGAACAAAGCTGGTTAACAATATTCATTTTGAAGTAATCATAATAAAATGTAGGTTGGGTTCGCATTTGTGAATTGTAATGTACCAAATGAACAAAGCTGGTTAACAATATTCATTTTGAAGTAATCATAATAAAATGTCTACTTAAAAAAAGGAAAATAAAATACTAAATTAATTTGTTGAGAGTGGGATTTGAACCCACGCCCTTTCGGACAGAACCTTAATCTGGCGCCTTAGACCAACTCGGTCATCCCAACTTTTTGTTATTTTAATATGAGTTTAATTTAAATAACTATTTTCACTAAGTTAATTTTTCATAATTTCTAAATGGAAGAGGCATTGAACTGTGTGAAATTCTAGATTTAATACAGTTTCTGAATAATTAAATTAGAAAAAATGTATTTTACTCTGTTCTGCTTCGTGGGGAAATAAATATAATAGGTGATGGTGTAACATTAACATCATAAACGGATTTTTGTGATGTCAAAAATTCCAAGTTGCATAAAACTATTTTTATAAAGAGAATCTCAACTTTCATTAAAATATAAAAGAGAAATATTATCTCAAACAAATATTTTGTATAGAAAGTGACGAATAAATTATCTATTTTATAACACAGTATAGAATACAAATCAATTTTCATTCAAACTGAAATATCTCAAATTGAATAACATTGAATCATATTTGGAACATCTAAAATTCATACCATTTGATAAATAACATTTGGTATTATTTATCAAGTAAAAAATATATATTATAGGATGGTTAGTAAAATTTCACGGGAAAAAAAATGAATAACATATGATTTCAATTACTGAATTTTATTAAAATTCTCATCATTCGTTACAGGAAATTGAACAACTAAAAGCATATTATGCCAAAAAAAATAAAATTATCTATGTGTTACTGAAAATAGTATTTTTAAATAAGGTTTTAGATTTAAACTTTCGAATCATGCTTTTCAAAATAATTATTATCCATGGCTTCAAAAAATTACTATATATTAATTTATATTTTAGATTGAACATTTCAGAAAAGAGCAGTGATAAACTTTTACGAAACGCACGAAAAAATGTCCTTTTATTAAAATAGAAAAGTAATAAACAAAAAAAGAGAGTGAGCTTCTACCACATGTGGAAAACATGTCTGATTGTGCTAATTCAAAATTTTGGAAAAACAATTTGTAGCATAAGAACTATGTTAAAATCCCAAGCTATACCACGTATGAACTCAATAAGAATCACACGTTATTTAATCTTTAATGAAACCTCATTAGAATAATTATATAATTAACTTGAACATCAAAATATCTTTATAGATATTAAATTTAAGATGTATCAACCCAAATAATCGGATGAAGCACCGAGATTGGAGAAAATATACCGTTCAGTCTTGTAAGAATATAATTAAGAAAAATTAAACATAATTTTAATAATTTACCTTTTGTGAGAATAAGAACGTTGCATCATTGTTTTTTTCATTGTTCCCTTCTTCCTCTTTCACTCCAGTGTTGTAGAATCGTCTCGATATTAGATCAAGTAATTAAATAAAATATTTTTACAACCATGCATAAGCTGAGAAATCTCTATTATACCAATCCTACACTTTCTTTTTATTGATATACTTGGTGTTATTAATTGCCTTTTGCATTCTTTTTAATCTATATCTCTCAAAAATATTTTTTTATAGTTTTTATAAAATGATTACCCAATATTAAAATCATCTTTAATAAACAATTTTATCTTTTTTTAATAGAAATATATGGTGAATGAATTAATAAAAGTACAAAAATAAATAAAAAAATAGACATTTAATCTCGTGATTTTAAAATTTAATCATTTTAGTCAAATGGTTCAAGTTAAGAAAATGATTATTAATATATCAATGTTGTATAACACACTCGTAAAAAGACTACTTGTTTATTTTAAGGTCATTAAAATTACTTTGGAACTGACTTCTACGAAATTGCATAATTTTAGTTTGATTTTAGTGACATCTCAAACACATAATATTTTATTTAAAAAAATAGAAACTAAAAATCTTTATTTTAATAAGAGAGTAGTGCGAATTAGAAAAAAAGAACAAGTTTTAATTTTAACCAATAATTTTCATTACAATATAAACTTTTAGTATAAATCTCAATTATTAATTTACGCATTTAAATGTAATCATTGGATTGTACCTTGTGCAAAACTCAAGTTAAAAAAAAAAGAGGGTAAGATTACTGAGAAAGTAAAAAAACGGAATTAGTTATGTGAAAAGGAAGAGAGTGTGAATAAAATGAAAGAGGAAAACATCTTCAGTAGAATCCAAACACCAAAAGTTGTTGTTGCATTGCAGCCACCAAAACCAGTGTCGTCAACGTGTACAATTCCACAACCACTTTTATTATTTATTTTTCCCCTGAACCCATTATAATTCCCCACTCCACAAACGCATCTTAAAATCTTCCTTTCTCTCCGATCTTCATTCCTCTCTCGCTCTTCATCTGCCTCCACCAACAACCATGGGTCCGGTGGTGCTCAGCCAGTTAGCCACCGGTCTCAGCGTGCTCGCCGGAGCGGTCATCGTCAAATCGGTGATGGACCAGAAGCCCATGGCCGGCCCATTCACCCGCTGCCCCACCTGCAACGGAACCGGTCGAGTCACCTGCCTCTGTTCGCGTTGGTCCGATGGCGATGTCGGATGCTCCACGTGTTCCGGGTCGGGTCGCATGGCCTGCAGCAGTTGCGGCGGCTCCGGCACCGGTCGACCCCTGCCGGCCAAAATCGCGATTCGCCCCCCCAACCGCCCCTCTTAATTCCCCACCACTGCTTTTAGCGTTAGTATAACTTTTTAATGTCATATATATACCTTTTCCAATTTTATTTCATCTCAATCGATTATTATGTACTTATTATTATTTAGTTCATAGCATGTCATATAAAGTGCACCTTGACACTTGTAATTCCTCCTATTCTCAGATTCTTGATTTCTTATAGAACCATACAATTCTCAGATTCTTCTTCTTCTTCTTCTTCTTCTTCTTCTTCTTCTTGCTCTAACTATGAAAGAATTCAAGAAAGCGCGTAATTGATTATGCCGTTGCTCCTCCACCGTGTTCTTGAGTTTGCGCACGTGCTCGTGAATGAATTTTAGAGAATCTACCGATCTAATTAATTTTTAGCAGAGGATAATAAAATAAATGGGATCCTAATACTTGAGAATATAGGCTTTTTTTCTTTTCACTAACAATAGTCTCGTTTCGTGAATCATTGCATTGGAATAGTTGGGTGTCACTCGCAGTGAAGTGTTGAAAGATCAAATTTGTGCACAATTGTTAACTATGCAAATTTCTATCACTGTGTTTGACCCAATCAAATTGGATTTGGACACTTTCAGGGGATTTTCATTTATTTTATGTCACAGTTTTAAATTAAACGAAGACTTCTTAGTCTCTCTTAGCGTAATTAACCACCATTTTTTATTTCAAGATTTGATCACTAGAATATTGCATGACTTTGTTTAGTCGTTAGTGCCAAAACATGAATTTGGCCGAGTCTCGTAGATAAAGCTAATGAATAAGTTAACTATTAGGTGAAAAGTTAGTTAAAAACTCAAAGTGTGAATTTTTTTTTTCTTTTTCATTTTACAGTTGACCACTGTGCTTGTTTCTGGAGAAGAAACTAGGATACATAGATTTGATACTGACTTTTTCATAATCATTCTAAGAATCATATCGACAAATTTTATTTATTTTTTCTCAATGATTAGATGAAGATGTTTTTCATATAGCTATTATAAATACATATAAGGCCATTGAAGTGCGTTTCTTTTATTGTATCTGTGATATGTGATGTAATTATGTTCATGTTTTATATTTGTTTTTGTTTTTGGTGGGGTGTTAAATCTCACTCCATAAGTGTGGAAAAAAGACCACGAAAACAGTCAAAAGAATAAGATTGAACATAAAAGATGGTGCATTATCTGAAAGGTATCTTATTTCACAAACAATCAAACCTACTTATCTTCCAGAACAATCGAACGCCATTTGATGATTTGGTTATTAGACATTGCACAATAGAAGTTTTAAATATGATGATTTGGTTAAAGTTTGAAAATTCTAAGCCTTGAGCTTTCACGTGGGAAAAACTCAAATTCTTCCAATTAAACCACCATGGCTAACGTTATATACAATGATCACGTGGTCAAAGACTCAAATATTTCAAAAGAGGTTATTTTTGCATTTATGGTCACTTATCCATTTGCATAACAAACTTCTAACTCTCAACATAAAAATATTTTTTCATGTTAAGAATTTCACGTAGAGTTCTTCCAATGTGTCTGTGTATATAATAGTGTTGACTAAGTCGACCCTGCACGTTTTATATATGTTTCAATTCCACTTTAGGACCAGTCCTAGTTGACTTTTATTATCTAAATCATATTACTAATGCTCAGGATGCATAATGCAATGCTTAAAAGCAATGAAGTAGTATCATCGTTCTTTAATTTTCTTCACTCTCAGTATTTCATTCATGTGGAGGCTCCCTCCAACGATGTCTTTGTCAGGGAAATAAATAGACCATTCCAGAACACGTTTGATTTGGTCAAAAAAATTTGCTTATTGAGTTACGAATTAATTAAGGCTGCGTTTGACATAAAACGAACACATTTTAAGAAGTTTGAATTGACGACTGGGAATTAATAAACCAAATTTAATAATTAATGCAGTAGAAGCAAGAATGGGCAATTAGCTTATCATACACAATCCCTTTTCTTTCTTTCTTTTTTTCTTTCCATGTTTTTGTTCTTTCTTAACAAATAATTACTCCATTCATTGACACCCTCCTCTGGAAGGAAAAAGTTGGATTAGTTCTCTGTTTCTAAATTTTTATTTTTATATATGAGCTAATTTTTATTTAATAAAATAATATTTTTTTCCTACGTGTAGGAAAACTTATTGAAAAGTATTTGACTTGAAGTTTAACAGAGCAAGAGATATTTTCTAGTTTCGTTTTCTTCATATTGTTCATGCACTGCAAACTTTAAACACATCATTGGGCTTTACAACTTAAACTAAGCCCACAACATAACTATCCGAGAACAACTTGGTGGGCTTTTTGTGTAGGTTAAAAAATGAGGTTTCTTTATGATGTTAGCCAAAATAGAGAATAAATAGTTAAATTTAGTTTTTTATTTTCTCTCTCATTCTTCTCCTATCTCACCCTTTTCACTTTCCATCTTTATTCTTATCGAATACAAATAGCTGAGCCCAAGCTGGCCCACTCATTTGGTACCTGAAAAAAAACGTAGACCCTACAATTGGAACAATTCTAAGGCCCATCTTTATTGATGAATTACGTAAAGACAAGGAAGAAGTAAAAAGTAGCATCAAACCTAAGCCACTTTCTAAATTTTGTTTCTTATTATCCTTCTTAAATAAGAAATTAAGAAGCGATCAGGGTAAACATTAAACTTTTTCAAGAAAACAGTTGGCATGAAAAGCACCAACATTAGTGCATCACATTCGAATGGTAGAGAATGTCGTAAAGATCTGCCACAATCTCATTCTTATCTTCATGTTTGAGGCAAAATCATAACCTCCATTTTCAACACTATAAAGTGGATAAAGATAAAAAAAAAAAAAAAAAACCAGGCCCACAACCACATATTCCTTCTCCTTCTTTCTCTGCTCAAATTCCTATATTCTTTATTTCTATTGCGTATATAAATAAGGGTATAATATTTTTCTCTTTTTTTTTCTCTCTCAAAATATCTAAAAATTTAGCTTGTTGTGTACATTGGAAATTTAGGTTTATACTCTTCCAGCATAAACATTGTCGCGTATGCGTGTACTTGTTTTATTTTGTTGATGCTACTTCTTTGTCTTTTTGTTGAAAGTGAAATCAAGGATAATTTTTTTGTATTTGGAGATAGATATTTGAATAGATAAGTTAAGAAATAATGGAATTTTATTTTTTTGAAGTAAGTTTTAAAATAGTAAAATGTAAAACTATTCTTAATTGTTTAATCTTATTGAAATTATGAATATCTTACCATCTTTAAACTACATAGAAATAAAATAAAAATTAGCATAAATATTTGAGAAACTAAGAATATGGGTATGTGAGAGAATTTACAATGTTAAAGGCAAAAGCAAAACCGTAAATAACTAGAATAAATAAAAATAAAAAATCAAGTAATATAATAAAGATAAGAAAGTCTATATAATTCATCAATTATATAGATTTTAAGAAGAAGATCATCATAAATGTTTACGCAACAAAGTTACGTAACAAAAGTTTAAGAAGAGGGAAAAACTTACAATATTTGTTGGAGAAAAAGAGTTTTAAAAATAAAAGTTATGGATTAAAAAATATATGCGAAAGAGGGAATAGTGATAGATAACATTAGTTGACTTATTTATGTGAGGATGAGAGTTATATTGAAAAATAAAATATATAAAAATAAAAATATATTATTTATATATTGTTATAGATAAGATGTGAATACATATGTGGTTTTTATAATTATAAAAAATTACGTAATTTTAGCCTCTCGTAGGGAATTGAAAATTAAAAATCTACTAAATGTAGGAAATAAAAATATATACATTTTTATAATAACTACAACAAAGTTAGAGGTAATTTGAATAATTAAAAATATATTTTAATATGTAAATAATATTATATTATCTACTACAGTAAAGTGAATAAACAATGGTTTTCAAATTTTATCGAATTTTAGTCTTATGTCTCATAAAAAGTTTTAAAACATAAGGATGGAGTTAATATAATTTAATTTAAAGTTTAAAAATTTTATATTTTGTATCAATTAATTCTGTCCTACACACGAGCTAAGATCTTTAAAGTTAGTTTCTGACATGTTTTGAAAAAATATATATATAAAAAAGTTATTAGATTTCATTATTTACACCTGCGTCTTTCATAATAAAATATTTGCTTTAAAACTCGATGGTAATAGAGAAGTTATCAGTAAACTTGTAATTATTAATTTCTGAAAATCATTTTTTAAAATCTGAAACTAAATATGCTCTATTAACTTTTTGGGTTACGGGGAATGTGATTCATAAGAAATCACTCTACTCGTATCAATAAATTTAAATATAATAACAAAGAAAATAAATATTAAATGGGATTAACTTTTACATGTTATTAGTGTGTATAAATTAGATAATACTACTAATCAATCAAAAATAATTATTCGTACATATTTTAAGACAACTATTATATCAACTACTTTATATTTTAAAAAGTTTAGGATAAAAATAATATACTCTCATTTCAAGGTAAGAAAAGTCTTTTGAATCCAATCATACTTTATTCAAGATAAAAACTATTTGATATTAAGAATTTGTTAATTCAAGTTTGCATCTATATATTTTAAAGTAATAGAGGCATGGCAACGGGTAAGGCGGGCAGATTTTATTTCGATCCGCCTCCGACTTTTTTAACCATCTCGTTCCCGCCCTCGTTTCCACTGGGTTTCGCGTTTTTTGCCCTCGTTCGTCCCCGATCTATATTATATTTAAAAAGATAATTACATTTATAATAAATTAATTTTACTATCTATTTTTTATATATAAATAAATATTTATAATTTTATAATTATTATTAATTAAATATACATTTTAATGTATTATATTTATATTAAAATATGTATGTAAAAGAAATATTTAATCATTTTTTATTTATAATATTATTATTATTATTATTATTATAACATTGTATTCAAATATTTGAATACTTATAACATTATTATTATAATACTATATTCAAATATTTTAATTCATTTTTA